CCGATTTTTCGGCAAAATTTTTTTCTTATGGGATTTAGCATGGGTTTTCGCTCGACGCGAATTGGGTCGCTCGAGGCGGGCCCACCGTGGCCCACCTGCGGTCCCAGGGCCGAAATTCGTCACCCGCGGCCGAATTCGGCCGGCCGCTGATGAAATAAGCACGAATCGCGGGGTTCCGGGGAATTTTATTAACACGCGGCGCCTCCGAGTTTCGTCCGTCGCTTCGCTAACTCGCGGCCTGTGTTATTCTTATGGGGGAAATAAGCAAACGCCGGAGGCCGCCGCGGCCGTTCTAGTGAACGGATTTTCGATTTTTAAAAAACAAAATGAAGCTAATTTTTGGGACGATTTTTCAAGTGGTCGCCCGCGCCCGCCGTGGCCGAATTGCTGATTTTTCGGCAAAAAAATTTTCTTATGGGATTTAACATGCGCTTTTGCTTTGGACGAGACGTAATGATCGCCGCGGGCCCAAGGTGGCCCCCCGGGGGCCCCCCAGGCAGAAATTCGTCACCCGCGGCCGAAATCGGCCGGCGGTGGAGGTAAAATGCATAAATGGGTGTTTTTTGAGAATTTTTATGCCAATTCTCGGCTTAAGGGATTTTGCATGGGTTTGCGCACGGACAGGGTCGGAACGGCCGCCACAGGCCCCCTACGACCCCCGCTGACCCCACGAGGTGAAATTCGGCCCCGGCGGCCTAATTCCGCCCGCGGCGGATGCAAAATGCATAAATCGCTGTTTTCCGAGGAATTTTATTAACACGCGGCGCCTCCGAGTTTCGTCCGTCGCTTCGCTAACTCGCGGCCAGTGTTATTCTTATGGGGGAAAAAAGCAAACGCGCGAGGCCGCCGCGGCCGTTCTAGTGGACGGATTTTCGATTTTTAAAAAATAAAATGAAGCTAATTTTGAGGCTGATTTTTCGAGGGTTCTCACAAGCCCGCCGTGGTCGAATTGCCGATTTTTCGGCAAAGAATTCGGCTTATGGGATTTAACACGCGTTTTCGCTCGCGATGAGACGTAATGATCGCCGCGGGCCCAAGGCGGCCCCCCAGTGGCCCCCGAGCCGAAATTCATAACCCGCGGCCGATTAAGGTCAATTGCGGTTGGAAAATACATAAAGAGTTAGAGTCCGCATAATTTTTAAAATAAATTGACACGGTGAACTTTCCGCTGCTTTCACCAATGCGCCCGTGTTAATTTTATGTTACTAAATTTTCAAAGCACATTTCTACTGATTTGCATTTACATTAAAAAAAATATGCAAAAAATTTATTCCCGCATGTAACACAATTGCACGCGCCTTTTCTGACCACCATGGGGTGATTCAAATTAAATTTGGGAATTTTTTACTATTTTCATTCAATATGGCACGGACGTCTTTCCCGCGGTCGCGGCAAAGACGCGCGCGTTCCAATGTGATTCCCGCGGGTTAAAATCACACGCACTACGATGCTGCTACAGGGTGCGCCAAAGCTAACTATGAAAATTTTAGAAAAAACTTTTTAATTATGTTATGTACAAGTCATGGGCATTATTTATGTCAATTTAGGTTCGTGGCCCATTATAGGGTGCTCCAAAGTTAACTTGGAAATTTTGTAAGGGGCAAAAAATGATTATACCCAAGAGTTTCATGCCGGTTTTGCAAGTGCTAAGGGGTCAATTGCCCAGTGTAGGGTGCTCCAAAACATTCCCCCTAAATTTATAAAGGCATTCAAGTACATTAAAATCGAGGAGCTTGCAAGGGGTTTCAAGGTTCATGAGGGTAGGTTGCCCAGTATAGGGTTTTCCAAATCCAACTTTTAAAATTTCTTGGGGGTGATTCAAGTAAATTACGAAACAACGATTTCACGAGGGGTTCGCATGTAAATCAGGGGTAATTACAAGGTAAAGGGTGTTCCAAAATGGGCCTCAAAATCTTTTTAAGAGGTTTCAAATAAATTGCGCCCCACGGTTTCACGCGGCTTCTGCAAGAAAATAAGAGATAGTTATCCAGTATAGGGTGTTCCAAAGCAAACTTTAACATAATTTAGAAGTTAAAAAACGATATACAACCACGAGACTTCCACGCGCGATTCGCAAGTTCACGCGGAAGGACTGACCACGCTAGGGTGTTCCAATGCTGACTTTGAGGACTTTGCATTCCTTTGAAGGAGACATGCTTTTAAGGGTTCCACAAGGGTGTGCAATTAAATAAGGGGTAATTATCCAGTACAGGGTGTTCCAAAATGAACTTTGGATATTTTATAAGGGGCTCGCAACTACGTTGAAACCAAGGATCTTACGATGGGTAACAAAGTTAATAAGGGGTAATTGCCCGGTCTAGGGTGCTCCAAAGCAAACTTTGAAATATTTTGAAAGTTTTCAAGGCCTTTACAAACCAAGGGGTCCACGCGGGTTCCCCAAGGCCCCCGGGTTGAATGCCCACTACAGGGTGTTCCAATGCTGACTCTGAGGGTTTTTGATTTCATTCAATATAACTTTCTCCCGAGGGTTTCCCGCGCGGTTTGCACGTTCCCGCGGGTTGAGGGGCCTGTGTAGGGTGTTCCAATGCCAACTTTGCGGGGGTTTTGGTTACTTTGGAGACGACTTCCCCCCGTAGTTTCCCGCGCTTTTTGCACCAAGCCGACGCTTCGTTAACTGCTACAGAGGGTTCGTCGGCTTAAACTCTGGCCGATTTCGCAACTTTCGGGCCGATTCGACTCGCGCGGGTTTCCCGCGCGTTCCTTGACCTTCCTCCCTTCAACTCATAGCCTACAGGGTGTTCCAAATTGATTCTTTACGCTGATTTGTATCTTTTTTCTCGCTTTTCTCGTTTTAAACGTTATTTCTTTTCCTTCTCTCCAATTTAATTCAAATTTAAAATTAAAATTAAAAGTAAACATCAAATGGAGTCCCACAACAACATCCCGAAAATGCTTGCGTTTAACGCAAGTGCGAAGCGCTTGTTTACTATTTATTATGATGTTCGCATATAATTTATTTAAAGAATTAATCACAATTCTATGACTTTCAATTTCTAGTGCGGTAAAATTTCCACAAGTGCCATAAAATTTCTTCCCGTGCGAAAAAAATAGCTCTAGTTGTTTATTGATCTATCACAAAAAGGCGATTGCTGCAGATAACGGGATACATCATACATCATTTATGCATTAAAAATTATAAAAATTTAATATAATTGAGAGTAAATAAACAAACATTTACAATTAAAAAAAAAAGATAAAATAAAGAAAATCTAGTTGTTTGGATTTATTTCTGGGTGCTGAAAGCTTGCATGTAGATGACTACCTGATACATCTGATTGCCGTTTACTTTGGTCTCTTTTTTTGCTCTCACTCCTGGCAGAATACTGCGAGCAATCTCAGCTGAGATTGCATGCAGGCTGAGCATGCAGGTGAGTGAGTGAGTGAGTGCGTGAGTGCGTGAGTGCGTGAGTGAGTGAGTGAGTGAGTGAGTGAGTGAGTGAGTGAGTGAGTGAGTGAGTGAGTGAGTGAGTGAGTGAGTGAGTGAGTGAGTGAGTGAGTGAGTGAGTGAGTGAGTGAGTGAGTGAGTGAGTGAGTGAGTGAGTGAGTGAGTGAGTGAGTGAGTGAGTGAGTGAGTGAGTGAGTGAGTGAGTGAGTGAGTGCGTGAGTGAGTGAGTGCGTGAGTGAGTGAGTGAGTGAGTGAGTGCGTGAGTGCGTGAGTGCGTGAGTGAGTGAGTGAGTGAGTGAGTGAGTGAGTGAGTGAGTGAGTGAGTGAGTGAGTGAGTGAGTGAGTGAGTGAGTGAGTGCGTGAGTGAGTGAGTGAGTGAGTGAGTGAGTGAGTGAGTGAGTGAGTGCGTGAGTGCGTGAGTGCGTGAGTGAGTGAGTGAGTGAGTGAGTGAGTGAGTGAGTGAGTGAGTGAGTGAGTGCGTGAGTGCGTGAGTGAGTGAGTGAGTGAGTGAGTGAGTGCGTGAGTGCGTGAGTGCGTGAGTGAGTGAGTGAGTGCGTGAGTGCGTGAGTGAGTGAGTGAGTGAGTGAGTGAGTGAGTGCGTGAGTGCGTGAGTGCGTGAGTGAGTGCGTGAGTGCGTGAGTGCGTGAGTGCGTGAGTGCGTGAGTGCGTGAGTGCGTGAGTGAGTGAGTGAGTGAGTGAGTGAGTGAGTGAGTGAGTGAGTGAGTGAGTGAGTGAGTGAGTGAGTGAGTGCGTGAGTGAGTGAGTGAGTGCGTGAGTGCGTGAGTGCGTGAGTGAGTGAGTGAGTGAGTGCGTGAGTGCGTGAGTGCGTGAGTGCGTGAGTGAGTGAGTGAGTGAGTGAGTGAGTGAGTGAGTGAGTGAGTGAGTGAGTGAGTGAGTGAGTGCGTGAGTGAGTGAGTGAGTGAGTGAGTGAGTGAGTGAGTGAGTGAGTGAGTGAGTGAGTGAGTGAGTGAGTGAGTGAGTGAGTGAGTGAGTTTGTGATTGAGTATTGAGATCGATCGAGTTTATATTGAGTGAGTGAGGGAGTTTGTATAATTTAGTGAGTGGATGATTAAATATTTTTTTCAAATGAATTAGTTATTATTTATTTAGTGAGAATAGTATTTTGTAGTGACGAAGTGAGTGAGCATTTGTTCAATGAATGAGTGAGTGAGTAATTATTAAGTTAGTGGGTTAGTGCGTGATTTTTTATTAAGTGATCGATTGAATTTAAATTGAGTGAGTGAGTTAGTATTTATTTAGTGAGTTTATGAGTAAACATTTTCCAAATTGAATGAGCAAGTTTTTATTTTGTGAGTGAGTATTTTGTAGGGCACTAGCGGTAATTTTACTGCTGGATAGGGTTATGCGTTGTTATGGTATTTTAATCAATTTTGCATATTCTGAAACTAAAAGAAACATTTGACGAAGTTAACATGCCCTTCAGTTGATAATATTTAGCGAGCGCTTGTACGCTCAACAAGAGTTAGCAGCAAAGGGTTGACTGAGAGCAGCGCAGGCGTGTGCATTTGGTCAGGCGCCAAGGGAATGTTTTGCAAAGTGCACATTCGCCGTCGGTTTCAGTTGGTCTCGACTCTCAAGCGCAAGCGGATCTGCACTATTTCGCTCGGCCCAACGGCGCGCGCGATCGACGAGAGCAAATTGCGGTAAGTCTCATAAATCACAGAGCCTAATTATAAAGCGCGGCCTCAAACGCAAACAACTGTTCTCTCGGCTGGCGCAAAATGCGCTGCAAAGCTCACATTTCTTTTAATTGAATCTTAACCGAAAATAACTTTTTTACACAAAATCGGGGTAGAATTTCAAAGGCTTAAATTTCGTTCTGAAAGATCATTATCCACACTAAAAAAAAAAAACATAAAAATTGCATAATTAGATTGAATAATTTAAAGTATTAATTGATGTTTTATATTAATTTACATCTCATTTCCTAATATTTATTCTGGTGATTTTAAATTTTTTTCTATCAAATTTCATAAAGCAATTTTTTCTATTAGATAAAAATTATTGTTCTCTTTTGATTTTTATTTTAAGACAGCTTTTCCTCAATGGACGGTTTGGTATGTTTTTTTCCATTACTTCTATCAAATAAACCATAAATAATCTATCGAGGGCGAAGTTTAATTACAATTCAAACATCAATTAAAATAATTATTACCACAAGATAAAAAAGAAGCTTCGGTTTAACTTTCCTTGAATAATTTATAGCTTCATAAATGTTATTTACAGTTTAATAGAACAAAGAAAAATCTTATACAAAAAGTATTCAAATTATTGATTTGTGTAACTTATTGATAATCTTTTATCATCCTGGCCCCTTTGCAAATGTGAAGAAAGTGACTTAATTTTATATTACTGTGGCACCAGCTCAATTCAACATATTTTCAAGTTAAATGATATAAATATTTTTCGTGTGCCAAAATACTAATCTATTTTTTCACACGTTTTCTCTAGAAAAAAGTAAGTTTCACCTCCCCTCCAATTATATTACATAAAAATATCCACGTTGAAAGGGAGGGCTTGAGACTCTCAAAATGTGAGTAACTCACTCGCTCTAGTTTTTAAGTGAAACACGTAAAAATAAACATTCACAATCAGGTGATCTGTGAGATCTGGACTTGGCCTAGTCACCAAAATGACTGATTTTAAATTAGCTACAAAGATGCATTAAATTTGCTTAGTCAATTTTGAAATATAAATATATTTTAAATGGTTTTAAATTTTTTTATTCTTATTTAATCGTCCAAAATTTTAAATGACATTTTATTTATTTTTATTAATTTTATTTCAACTTTTTAATAATATTTATTGAAGAATAAAATTTTAAAGATGCGGTTCCTGTTAAAACACGAGATTTTTGGTGGAAATGAATGCGCAAAAATAGTTTGTTTTAAGAATTTACAATATTAGTATCGAGGGTTCATTTTATGGAAAACTATATCCAAAAATAAATAATTGCATTACTTGTTGACTTTCCATAATTGATTATTCTTAAACATTTTAATTAAAAAAAATTGCAGCTTCATTTTTATTCTAATTCTGGTCAAAAACTTTAAATAAGATATTATATTTATCTATATTTTTGCCAATTCTAGCAGATTTTTAAACTCATTCACAAAATAAAAAAATAAATTGACTGTAAAATATTGCAAATTAATAAAATTGGTCGATTTTGAAAGCAAAAAGTATCTATTTATCTATTTGAACTTTTATTAAATTTTCATGTAAAAAATAAAATTTGTCTAATTTTTGAACTTTTGAATGTGAAATGCATTGTCTCGATCCTTTTCAATTTTCATCAGGATTAACATGGTTTCTTATTTATAGGTTATTTTTTATGCTGCTATAAAAACATTCAGATGATTAATCATCCCTTGCGTTCCTATTTCTTCAACCCTCGCACAAACTTGTATTTTTTTATGCTTGCTCAAGAACCAATTAATCTAAAGTTTTTTTTCGCTTTCACTTTTCGTCCGGCCCAATCAGTTCCCGACTCACTCGACTTGATAAGCCGCCTTTTCAAAGCCGCAAAATCACAGCGAGAAAAACCGTCGTATTTGAAAAAAAGATCCTCCGTCGGTCAACGAGTTTGGCGAACCAGATTGAAGTTGGGGTTGAAAGGAGCTAATGAGGAGGAAAGTTGTGGGCGCACGACCAATTATAAGAAGCGCCAACCGACGCGTGCTGCAAACACTGCCCCGCTCTCGGTCCCACCATTAAATTATATAGACAGAGACTTTTGGCCAAAACAACCCTTTGTTCCGCCGAGATCAAAGAAACGCGCGTCTTTGTCAGCGCCACGTTTACGCTGACCCAGTGAAATATAATTCGCGCTCGTTACTTTTTAAACGCTCGAATTACGACTGCGCTACTGACATTTGCACGGGGCTGACATTAACACTACAATACACATCACCAACAGGAAAAAGTCAATTGGTTTTTTCTGCCTAACTTGCCAAGATATTATCCAAACTTCAAATATTTATAGATTAATTCATGCAATTTTAAAATTATATCAAAAGCATAAATTTATAAACTATAAAAAATATTAAAAAATGATGAATTTTAAAAACAATATTAATAACATTTATATTTAATTTTTATTTTATTTTTTGAAACTTATTTAGAAAATTGTCCAATCTTTCTGAACTCGACTTGAGAATTGTAATTCTACGTGACATTATGCAAGTAATATAGAAATTAATGGCATAATATTAATTTTCTTTAGATGAACTTAAAATAATCATTGTAGATAATTATTTATCATGCCCTAATTTTATAAATGTTAATTTTCGTTTAATTTTGATTTCATAAATTCATGATCTACATTTTAATATTAACACTAGGGATGGGAAAATATGCACATAATTGTTGGAAATTAACCGACATATATGATATGAATTAATAAAAACAAACAAAATTGATCCATGAATATTAACTTAAATCACCTAATTTCAGTTTTTCTCCTATTATCTATCTTTTTACCTAAAATATCATATTTAAAAAAAAATACCAGCAAAGTTACAAAAACTTGATTGTGATGTAAATTTTTTTTACCTATTTCACCAAAAATCTTCTAATTAGGCCTATAAAAATCACCTAGCATTAAATCAAACTTGGCTTTTCACTTTCTTTGAACTGATCGAGTCGATTTTTTTTTTACACTTAGCACAAATCGTCAGTTTTTGTAAAACAATCCGATTTTTCCCCAGGTTTAATTTTCACGCAAAACACGCACGTTATATTATTTTGTCGCAGGGATGCGTGCGGACGGGCCGAGGTGATTTTCCCTCTGGAAAATACCGGTCGCCGCGAGCTTAAGTGTGTTTTATTCTTTAAGGCTTCTGTGTATTGTGACGCGAGAGAGTCGCAGCTGAATTCCTTGTTCCGCACAGACCACTCGGCGTGCGCGACACCGAAACCAAATTAGCCATTTCTGTCTGATTCATTCGCCAGCACAAGAAGTTTGCTGAACTTTTCTCGCACACGCGGCATGCGAGTACTTTTGGGGCCAAATTTAGCATTGCTCCGCCGTTCGACACAGGTGCACTTTATTTCTGCCGACCAATTAAGCTCTATTTGTGCTTAACTTAATTGAAGGTCGTAATTACGGCCATAAACTCAGTGGCGACCGAGACCAATTTGTTTTACGAATTAAACTTGAAGCATTGTTAATTTTTGCAGACAAATTTCTCGGCCCAGGGTTGATTTATGATTTTTTTAATTATTGCATTTTTTGCCTTAAATTTTTTTAAAGTTTCAGTTATTATTAAATATATATGATTTTTTTTATTATTTATCCACATTTAAAAACACATAAATATATTGTTTACCTTGAATTGTTGAACATAATTTACTTAAAAAAAGGAATTGTTGGACAAAACCACCACTAGCAAGAATTTTGCAAAAACTTCCTAGATCAAAAAGACTCCATCCGCCGTTGCGAGCCTTGGTTGACTTGGTTATTAATTTTTATGGTTTTTTCTGTGGGAAAGATTAACCGCAATAAAAAAAACTATTAAAAACCCATCAAGGAAAAATATGTTGTATTTTTTAATAGTATTAAAGTGTAAATTACTATTTTAAACATAAAATTAAATTTAGTAAAATTTAAATTACTATTGAATTTAGTAAAGAAACAAAATTTAGTAAAATTTTGTTTCAAAATATTTAAAATGAATGATGTTGCTAACATTATTTGACAATGGACATGTTTTTTTCATAATTTTATTTAGTTTCTCAGTGCTCAAATAACAAGAAATCGTTTGTAAATGTAATTAAAACAATAGTTTAAATTGGTAATTAGGTTTTTTTTTTAATTTTTTTAATAATAATGATTATGTTATTGTATTTATGGTTATTATTTTAAAATATACTTTACTTTTGTTTAAAAAATACATAAATCTTATTTTTTTTTTAATTTTTAAATAATACAAAAAAAATCATGCATTTTAAATAAAAATATAATAATTATTAATAAAAATAAAAAGCATCCTTTAAATTTGTATTAAATAAATAACACCAGTTAAATTATTTTGTTTGGTTAATGTTTCTTGATTGTGAGTTGTCTTTTTACAGAATTTCGATCAAGATTCTGAAGAAAATCGTTGATCGTCAGTATTGATTAAGACCGCGGCTTGTCATTTTTGTTGACGTTTCCCGTATATTTACTCAGATGTTATGTGGGTGCGCATGGCTTTTCTATAAATCTATAAATTGGCTGCCAACACACACTCACACAACCCCTGAGCAAATAATCATCGCCGGAGATTAAATCGTGCCTGGCTGCGCGCGCGGAAAACCCACAAAATAAATAATCTTGAAATCGTCGTCACGCGGTGAGCGATGATCCCGCACACGTGTCCCCTCCTAATTGCGAAACTCCATTGATAACTTTAAAAAAAAACACACGTTCTGTTCAGAAGTAAATTGCATGTCAGACTCCAATATTTCCCACACAGATTCACTCCGCGGTAGGTGCAAAAGCAGCCGTGTTTTCATGTTCCAATTCAAGCGAGACACGCTCTCGGCATTCATGAATATTTCATAGTCCAAATCGACGCTCTCTGCTTGTGCTTGGCAAGAAACAGAGTCTTTTGTGGTGTTATTTGGATACGAATTTATACCACAAAAAGAACTACACGAATAGGTAAAGGAAAATATGTTTTGAATAGAAACACCTTCCGTGCCGAAAACATGGTATTTTTCTTATACCCAGCAGAGAATGTAAAAAGAAAATTGCGCAAGCAGATATAATATGGCTTCTGAGAGTGAATGAAAAATTGAAAAGTAACAGAACAGTTTAATCAATGTATTTGCCAAAAATTGAAAAGCAAATTGTAGAAATGAAAAGTATGTGAATGAAATATTTAAATTTTAAAAATATAAGTTTTTGGAATAATATAAATTTTAAAGTGGATATCAACAGCTTAGGATCGCAAAATCATTATTTAGAACTGTTAGTATGGACCTTATGGATCATTTTGATAACAAGAAAATTGGGGGTCACCGCATAAATTTTTGAGAAAATCGCATTTGAAGTTAACATGGCTCGCTTATGTAAAATTTTCACAAAAATCGTTTAACTGTAATTGAAGTACATGAAAATAACTTTGCCAAAAGTGTGTGACCCACCATCATGTTCCTTAATAACCGGGCTACAGATTTGGCACAAGAAAATTGGGGGTCACCGCGTAAATTTTTGAGAAAAGTTTAATTGAAGGTCAAAAAACGTGGTTTTTTGCATTTTACTCGTTTCCGAGAAAGATAGGCTAATTTTTAAGCGCTTGGAATTAATTAATTTCTACATATAAATTTCATGATAGTTCGTATTTTGGTTCCAAATATACCCAAGTAATAAAAAAATTTCATATTTCCATGAAAGAAAATATAGGGTCCATGGGATTAATCTCAAGTTTTGATTTTTTGAAATTTAACATTGCGTCTTATGGGAATTTTTACGTTTTCCCAATTTAAAAAAAAAATCGGCCCGAAATTTTTTGCTCAAAATTTTACAATTTACATTTTAAATACTGCTGAACACAACTACAAGATAAAATTTGGGTGTTCATGGACATAAAAATTAATCATATCCTAACATTACTCTTACGGAAAAATTGCTAGAGCCTCCTTGTACATCAATAAGGAGCCCTTAAATAAATGTACAGCTTTCTTTCTTTTATGAAAATTCCTAAAAAAATAAAAATTCGCTCTAAAATCGCTTCAATTCTAAAATTGGCCTGTATAATGTTGGAAATTTTGACAGGAAATTTTTTCACCTATTTGTATTTAAAGAGAAAAATGTCTTCTCCTTCAGGAATTAACGCTTGCATATTTGCATCCCAAGGAAATTTTAATCGACATTATCATATCAGATCTGTTTAATTTCGTAACACACTAATTTATTCTTACGAAACGTGTCGTTCGAGTCCACATTTGAAATTTTGAACAACAAATCAATAAAACGGAGGGCGACCTTTGGCCTATATCGTAGTCACTATTGTGGCCCCAGCACGTTTAGTTTTTCAAAACAGAGTCCCCGCTGAGAACGTTATTTTGTTATTCGGAACAAATTTATTTATACTATAATGGCCGAGAGAGAGAATAATTTGCATGCGAGGGTGTGTTGGCAGCGCGAGGAAAGGGCGGTCGTCTGGACGGGCTCGGGGGTTGTTGCGGGCAGGAAGCCGTAGAGATGCGTGCGTCGGCTAATTAGGGTGCGCTGGCCTGATTTCAGACTTCAGCATCGGCGATCGCGGAAAAAAATGCTGGGCTGACCGCAGCAAAGGAAGAACAAAAGACGAGAAACACCGAATTCAAGACCATGCACTGCGTGTGTGCCCAGCAGGAGGAGGCCGACGGCGGCACCGGCGGTGGCATTTGGGACCTGCTCAGGTGCAGACGCATGCGGAAGGGACACAAATTCACCATGCCCAAAGGAGAACGAAGTGAGTACAATTTTAATATATTTATATCTTATTTGCAAATCCAGCCATTTTAAAAATTATTAGACAAATTGCAAATTGCTTCAAATAACAACGGAATTTTTTTGCATAAATGTGAAAAAATTGCACTTGTTCAAAGTCCTTCAATAATAAAAATCACTTTAAACATTTTTTTTTTTTTTAAAGACCCACTCCGGTCATTTGTATTGCTCTTTATTCTGAAAGATTGCTAAATTTCGAGTATATCTTGTGAAAACACTAAGTGAAAATTCCAAACCGTTGTGTCTCAATGAAAAGAAAACCTAAATACGAGTGATTCGCGCGAAAAACGTGTGAGAATTGAGTAGCCAATCAGTTCCATCAGTTTGTTCCAAAAACTACAGAATTTGGTCACATTGGCGCTGCGATCGCTGATTGTGCCACTAATGCCCCACGGCGCTGCAGAAAACTTGGCAAAATCAGCGATCGCAGCGCCAATGTGACCAAATTCTGTAGTTTTTTGGACAAACTGATGGATCTGCTCGGCTACTCAATTCTCACACGTTTTTCGCGCGAATCACTCGTATTTAGGTTTTCTTTTGATTGAGACGCAACGGTTTGGAATTTTCAATTAGTGTTTACACAAGATATACTCGAAATTTAGCAATCCTTCAGAATAATGAGCAATATGAATGACCGGAGGGGGTCTTTAATAAAATGTTTTTTACATTTTAAATTTTTTCAAATTTTATTGAACTTCAATTTGTCTTTATAAAATTTTACAATTAATCTAAAGTGATTTTAATTGTTGGAAAATAATATTTTCTCTTGAAGGACTATTAAATAGTAAATTCAGTTGCTGATTCCTATTTGTTAAAAATACTATTCCCGCCACTCTAAGATGCTAATCAGAGATTTATTAGAATAAGCCCATGAATAAATCTGCATGCGATTCGTGCGCGGGGTGCGTGCGTGGATAAAATCCCACACAGACGTGTCGATTTCTCACAATAAAAAAAAAATGCCACTTGTCGCCTGCCCGCTTCCATCACTCTCGTTCTTGACTAACTTATTCTGTTTCGAATGGATTTGTATTTTGACGGCAACAGGTATAATACATAATATGCCATGCACTTTCTTGCGCGACGAAACCAATTGATTTTATCTCAACTGTGATTGATCATGCCAACAAACCTCACGTGAGAGACCGTTTTGGCGCTCGGCCGACTTATTCTTTGCTCAATTAGTGAACCGCGTTCGTTCTCTTGGCTGCACTTGCTGGTTTCATATTTTGAAAATATTGCTAAGAACTAAGGAAAGTGACCCAATTTTCATTATTTTTTTGCCTGCAATTCGAAAATTAAATGGAAAAAAAGTTACAAATGATAATTTTTGTCATAATTTAAATTTAATAGGAAAGAAATTTTTAATTTGTAAATTATATTATTAAACACATGCATTTTTTAAGTTTATATTTAAAATAATAAAATTAATATATCATATTATTATTATTATTATTTAATTATTCTAGTTTTTTGAAATTTAATTATTGCATCGAATCATGAGACGGGGACAACCAACAGAAGGAAGCGATAAATTATTTATGCTAATAATTAATATTTTAAACAAATATAGTAAATGCATTTCATTAATGAAAAACAAATATTTTCAACAAATAATGAGTTGGCATGTACAGCACTGAAGTTGGAATATATCCTAAATTTTTATTTCAGGTTCTATTCACTATCAATAAATTCAACATAATATTGTGAATTGTGATACTTAGGGTTGTGAAACTTAGACGATCGACTATTTTTTTCTGGGCTTTGGTTTGGCCTGAATTTATCAAATGTGCACGAATCATGAAATTTCAAGACGATTGACACCCACTTAAAATCGTCTAAAACCGTCTAAAACACCCAAAACCGTCTGTCTAAAAGCGTCTAAAAATCGACTAAAACAGTCTAAAAGTGTCTAAAACCCACCATTTCGTCTCCTGGTGCACAAAATATTCAAAAGTGCACAGATTTTTGTTTACCGCGCATTCTCGGGAGTCGAGACTTGAAAAAAAAAATTTCATGGTTTCTGGCGACCATCTACAAATCTCGGACAGGTCATTCTGAGCATTTCTAGCTAGTTTTGGTGAACAGTGATTTTTACCCCCTCATCCCTAGATCCACCCTCGGCGACTTCTTTTTACAAGCCAAATTTTCAAACTGGGAAAAAAAGTCTAAAACCGTCTAAATTGGATAAAAACCGTCTAAAAACAGTCTTTTTCTATGAAAAAAGTGTCTAAAAAAAGTCGACTATTTTAGGCAAAAAAAAGCGTCTAAGTTTCACAACCCTAGTGATACTTAATTAATTGTGTTAATTAGTCAGGTGAATTTAGGTAACTAAAATTGTTTTTATATTTTTACTGACAATGGGTGCACTCCAGAGGTGGAAACGAAAATAAATGAATGGCCTGGAATTAAACATACAAAAGAATGAAAAAAGATTAATAACCTGGAATTTAAAAATTAATTTATCACAAATTTTGAAAATTTGATCCTTCGATTTATATGCTTTAATCTTCCAGAATTGTATTTTTTACTTCTGGAATTATCCAATTTGCTTTTTAATGATACCTGAACTCATCCATTTAAGGGCCCAATTTGCAATGTACGGCCATGCAAATTCCGCTCACGAGAGTCGTAAAAGCGCGCACGGTAAGAAGATCTTCAGGCCTCATAAATTCGTCCCATTTTGTTTAATAACGTCGGGGTCGGATCGTGTGGCACTTGGTTGTATATCAATCACCCGACGAGCTTCTCCCTCAGCCGGAACAAAAAAAAACCAAGGGCGCTTTTCCATCCGGAAACACAGGGAAAAAAGAGTCGGTGTTGGAGAGAAACAAAACTCGCACGCCGGCCGCACCATAAAGGGTTGGTAATAAATTTTGGTCTTTTGGCCTCGCAGCAACCCTCTGAATTCTGAACTTGTCCTGCAGCGTGAAATGTGATAAAGTGAATGGACTTTCTGCTAGGCATTGTTTTGCGTACGTGGAGAGGACAAAGTTGGCTTGACCAGTCCCGAGGACAAAGCCATTCTGTAGCAAAATGTTTGTCTTTCTCCCACGGTTAAGCGAAAACCTCCCTCGGGCCAGTGTGTTTTCAAGAAACATAACAGACCCGTTTTTCACCCCCAACTTGTTTGCGGAGTGATGAAAAATCGATCAGCTTATTTTGTCTCGGAAAAGCCGCATTCTGACTTTGATTGATAATTTTTTAATGGGCGAAACTTTTCCGGGCGCATCATAAAATTAAATTGCAGGAAGTTGGAGAGCATAAATTACCCCCGGCAATCATATTTGTGCAAACAGAACATGATAAATTACAAATCAATGTCAGCCTGCAGGCGAAAGTTCACTCGCACACACCCCTGTCTGCGGATATCAATCATTGGCCACGCTTTTCCATTAGGCTCACACCGGAAAATGAGAGTCTACTCACTTTTTGACGGCAGCAATGGAATGATTTTGTAATAAAAAAAATTGAATTACAATTTCCACCCCAATCAATCATAATCAGAACACAAAGTTCATAATCAACCCAAAGCTGTCCTTAAAATTTAATTTAAAAAAGTGCCTTATTAATTCGGATAATATTGTAATAATTTTAATTAATGTGGTGAAGGGGCTGCCAGACTTCTGTATACGGAGTTGCAAGATCTCAAAACGTCTCCTTCTATAAATAGGTAAACCACTCACTCGCCTTTTGCTATCAGTGAAACTTTGATGATGTCTCGAGAAATGTCTTCTCCATGCTGTTGAAAATATGAGCAAATTTCTGCGAGAGAGAAAAGTTTGCAGTAGCAAAGTGCAGTCGGGCCAAGTTCTCTGCGACGTCAGACTGTGAGTGCGAAAATTGTTGAGAGACTTTTGTGACGTAATTGAACTTTGCAGGCGAACCGCGTTTTCTTTACTCTCCGGCGTGCGTACTTTCGAAAGTAGGCAACCGGGCCAACATGGGAGCTCTGCGGGTTGCGTAAGCGCATATTCCTGGAACTAATTGCAGAATTTAATTTTCTTCACACACTGCGGTAATAAATGCTCACAATATCATATTCTTGAATGCAGTGAACGAAAAGTAAGCCTAAGAGAGGCTGCAAAAATCAGAATTAACTAACTTTGTACTTTGTAATAATTATCAAAACAAGCTTAATTGTAAAACTAATTTTAGGAAGACAAATTAGCTTTAGACACCCGTTCTACACCTAGTTGTGTTCAATAAATACTCTATCTTTTAATTTTCTTCAGCGTTTCATAACATCCCAAAACATTCCAACTGAAATAATAATAACAAATGAAATTTCAAATTAATTAATTTCAGAGGATTTTATTTTCTTTAAATATTTAACCCTTCTTGCAGCGCCATTGGCCCTCCTCCAATTTGATTAGCTCTCACATGGTTAAATGCTCTCGAATTGCTTCCATTCCGGTGCCAAGTTCGCGTTAATTCCTCGCCTTGTGTGACGTCACTCGGTGCGTGCCAGCTCAGAAAGCTTTCTCTTTCTCAAAGCACGTTTGGGACTTTCTTTGTATCGGAGAACGTAATTCGACGCTGCGTGCGAATACCGACAAGAACAGCTAATCAACGCCGGCCCTCCCTGTTGACGTTCTGCCGGACCTCTTAAGTCAATATTTGACAGTGCACGCTTTTCCAATGTCCTTTCGACCGACAGCATAGTTCTGATCCGATCGATGTGTTAAAATTAATGAATTTTATTTTATAAATTTTCATGGAAATAATTTCTTCTACCTCTGTGAAGGGGAAATGAATTATTCAGTCAGAATGTGATTGGACATAAATTGATAGGCGCTGACAGGCGAGACAAGGAAATTTAGGTTGAGGCGCGCAGAAAAGTAATCACCATTGGACGTTTTCCACTCTGATGAGTTCTGTTCGCCCGTCAGTTTGATTCAAATCGCACATTGTCTGCTCGAGAGAAAGGACGAGACTTGCTATTCATTACACATCACATAT